CCGGAGGAAGGGCGGAGGATCGTCATCCGCGGGAGTTCGCCTAAACGCGAACGGCGTGCTTGCGAGTTACGGTACTCTTGTCCTCTTCTCGCGGCCGCCGAGCGTGCACGGCGCGACCTCGCCGCGCGGCGGACAGTTCCGCGGGAGAACGGCGAGCGAACGAGAGGAAGTCTGTTTTGCAGAGCGCGCGCGGCCGCTCGTGTGACGTCATCGTGCGATTATATTTCCGCACCCACACGCCGCTCTTTCTCTACAGGCGTACCTGCGTGACGCGTACCTGCCTCGCAACGGGTACACGTTTGTAAACACACACGACCCCGAGACGTACGCACGGCCGGCCAGGATCGCGCGATCATCCAGCACGGTCGAACCACCACCGAGTTCGACGCGTGCTCCGGAGTGTTCGGTCGTCTCGATGCCCGTAAGAGAAGTTTCAATCGCGTCGCGCGGTTGGTGTTGGCTAATTGTTGACAGAGCGAGCTTGCGCGCCCCGAAAGAGAAAGATGTTCGAATTTAAAAGGAATTTTTTCAACGCTTCGGTTCGAGGAAGCCTCGACCATTGACGATCGACACGCATCGATAATCAATCGGCGTAATAATATATACATCCGTATCTCTCCCGAATGGAAGAGCGCGTCTTGAAGAAATCGACGCGCTACCGATCGCACTCTCTAGAGAGCGAACCCTTCTATTGAATGTCGCACGCTCGGATCACTCCAGTGTGAATTCCCCATAACGATCATACTTCTCGCCCTAAACGCGCGGCCAGGAGCGTAGCGCAGCTTCTCCTCTTCGACCGTCGCTCTCGGTAGAACGAACTTGGCCACCGTCCAACTCCTCGCAAAGAAGAAGAAAGAAGACGAGGATGAGGAGGATGATGATGATGACGATGACGAGGAGGAGGAGGAGGTGGACGAGAAGAAGCGCCGCGTCGCTGCTACGAGCTACGGGGAGCGCCAGGCGGAGGAATAGGCAGAAAGAGAGAGGGCGAGAGAGAGAGAGAGAGAGAGAGAAGGGGGAGGGAGCGAAAGCGAAGAAAGAGAGAAAGGGCAAGAGGAGCCGAGGAGAAGACCGCGAGGAGAGAAGGAGAAGGAGAAGGAAGGAGAGGAGGGAAGCAGCGTTGGGCGACCGAGAGAGCCGACGAACGCGTCGGAGAATTATAAGAGGGTTCTGTGTGGCGCGTTCGCGCTCGCACACACGACATACGGACTCTACACGGTGTATTTTTACTCCGGACATCACGGCGCCGGACACTCGTAAATAGACACTCTCGCTCACGCGCGCGCGCATCGACGCTCTCCGCTCTCCGCTCGCCGCCGTACGCTCTGCTCTCCTTCGCTGGTTTCGCTTCCCTCCCTTCCTCTCTCCCTCCTCTGCGCCACTGTTGCTCGTTCCTTCTGCTCTTCCTCCTCCTGCGCCCCTCGCTTCTCCGAGGGCGCCTTCGCCCTCTTTACTCTTTCGCGGGAGAGACGCGCGTACTCGCGCGCTCGTCGCCCTCCGGAGTTAGATCCGAGAGTCTAAAGTTCTAACGATATGACGTTAACGCTGATCACTCTCTCACTCCCCTCCCCCCCCTCTCCTCCTCTCACCGTCCTCTTCTCTTTCTCTCGCCGTGTACCCGCCGCCTACGAGTTAGCACGATGCCTATACTCTTGTACAATCCGCTTGAATCTCTCAAGACCTACGCGATCCATTGAGATCCACCTGGAGAAAAGAGAAAGAGAGAGAGAGAGAGAGATAAAGAGAGAGAGAGTGGGGGGAGGGAGGTAAGAAACCCAATGATCTCGCGGTCGGTACGGGAGTCTGGAAATCTACATACACTAAGTTTCGATAAAGCTTCAATATTTACCAAGGCAAAATTTCCTAGTCTTAATCTCTCCCATATGTGTGGATACAGTGATACCATATGATGGATATAATACGATATGACGTGTCAAGCTGTCAAAATGACGAATTAGCCGGGAAAGCAACGGTTATGATGTACATTCAAATGCGTATTCAAATACGATGCGATGCGAATTAGAAAAATAGACTGAGTAATGTAAATCTCGAAGAGTCCGTACGGCGTACGCGCTTCTTCTTCTTCTTCTTCTTCTGCAATTTTGGTTCGAAACAGAGTTTTCCATTGGCCATTAGTTTTATTTGGAATATTTCTTTAGTTCTTGCTTATTTGATGAATAAAAGAGACAGAGAGAGAGAGAGAGAGAGAGAGAGAGAGAGAGTCTCTCTCTCTCTCTCTTATATCGTTCTTCTTATGTTCTTTAGGAAGTTTCTCAATGCTGAGTATGAAGCTTACTATTTGAGGAAAAAGAATCATGTGACCCGTCGTCGAGTCGCACGACCTCGACTTTCGACAGAAACAATGTACACGCGCGCTTGAAGGGACGAGAAGTTGCTCACGATCACGATCGACTCTCGAGGACCAATCTTCGAGCTCTCGAGTCGAGCGATAGACGGGAATCGCCATTGGGCATAAGAACCGCGCGGTTTCATCGCGATC